GCATTCCTTCCCCTACTCCTTTCTCTAGAAGAATGAAGAGAAAATCCCATGCTCCCATGGTGAGGAAGTGACCCACTGGTGGCCCGGTCCTTGCATTCAGGATGGAGGAAGTGACGGTCTACAGGCTAAAAGCCAGGAAGTGGGGGGCAGAAATCCAGGACAAGCTCCCTCCTCCACTATCCCCTCCTCCCACCTCTAGAAAGCTTCTGGACGCTGACCCAGGTCGACCCAGAGGCTGGGCCACCCACACAGGTGGCTGGGAAACACCAGCCACAGAAAGCCCCTGGTGCTGGGGGCCAGAATGGCAGGAAGCCGCAGGGTGGTGTGAGAGATGACTGGGGGGGGACGGCAGGCCCTGTTAACCCTGAAGCTGCCCCTCACCCTTGGGCCACACTTCCTTCCAGGAGGCATTTGGCCACATTTCTTGTCTTAGACAGGCCGAGGGAGAACCCAGAACCCCAGGGGGCCTACCTTCCCCAGGAAGGATGCTCTGGTCTCTCCTAACCACCAACCCGTGTCTTAAACCCCAGGGAGCCCGCGCTCCCCTATTTCCTGCAAACAGACCCCGGACACTGGAGAGAAGCTTTGGATCCCACAGGGAAGTCATACTCTCTTCCATTTTCCACAGAAAACCCAGAACCCAGGGTAGCTTTCCATCCTCTCATAACCGCCCCCAACTCTGGGGTTCCCGCACTCCCCCATTCCCCACAAAACCCCCAGTCAACGGGAACCCAGGCTCCTCGGCTTCCTTAAAAAGGTTTTCATTTGGGGGTCTGCGGGCACCGAGCTGGCCCCCTGACGGAGCCAGCATGCCTGCCTCCCGGGGCCCTCAACCTGCCCCTCGGGGCCCTCCGTCTCCCGTCCCCAAATTCCCGGGGTGCCACCACCTCTGAGATTTCGGGGAGCGCTCCTTCTAAGGAGCTCGGACGCATGGGGGTCCACTCAGCCCGAACCCCAGAGAGGCCGCGGGCTACCCTCAGGCGCCCTGGGGCCCGGCTTCCGAGATAGATGGCAGGGGGACAGGACGTGGCGGCCTTTCCTTACCCGCCGGCGTGGCCATGGTCCCG